TGTAGCAGTGTGTGATGATGTGTGTGTTGTGCAGCAGTGTGTATGATGATGTGTGTGTTGTGTAGCAGTGTGTGATGATGTGTGTGTTGTGCAGCTGTGTTTTTGATGATGTGTGTGTTGTGTAGCAGAGTCTTTGATGATGATGTGTGTAAGATGATGCTGGGGCTATTTGTGATGCAGTGTTGACACCAAAGCAGATGCCTGCAGTGAATGTGATAGCATCATTTCTTTTATTTAATAATGCAGAGTTGTGCTGCTTTTCAGAGGTTTGTGGTAATGGATGAGCAGCCCTGACTACAGCAGGAAATTCATAAATAGCGGTAACTCTCCTTTTGGGCTATAAAACAAGACTGCTCTCATTTATACTGCACTTAGATTGGTTTCATATTGTGTCGGGTGTGACAGTAAAATTGGCGGGTGTAGATTTATAGTTCTCACCATGAATGATCTTTTTACTATTCCTGTAATTGCCCCAAAATTAAATTTTCTGACCATTGACCCTTTTATACACTTTATACACTTATTGCCTCTACAGTATCTCACATGGTCAGTGTGTTCACAGCAGCTCACTGTGACTCTGCAGTGAATTGAAATGAGGCTATTTGACGAGCTGTCTTGAAGAGCGGCTCTGACTACACACAGACAAACATTTACTCAGGTGACGGGAGATGACGGAGAGCAGGAAACAGCGGCACGGAAAGCATTATTTGTGATGTTATTTGCAGTCTGCACCGGTGGGAGCTTATGGCGTTTCTCTGCAAGTGTGTGTGTGTGTGTGAATGTCACCTGCGGAGGTGTCGCTGAAGCCGCCCAGAAATAATGAATGACCTGGATGAAGGATGCAGAGATGCAAGGATACAGTATGGTTAAAAATAAGCAGAATGGAGCAGAAGCTGGTGAGAGAGGAGAAGGGAAGAAACAGGAGAGAACAGAGGTGAGGCATGCTGGGTGATGAAAAGTTGGGTGAAGTGTGAAGAATAGGGGGAGGGTAGCAGACAGAGAAACACTGAGGTGAGGGAGCTTAGATTGAGGGAAACGGATGGAGAGGAAAATAGGAGGTGATGTGAAGATGGGTCATTCTCAGCAAGACTGAGGAGGTGATGACAGGGCCGAGTAGGATGAAAGGAATGAATAAAAGGAAGGGAGGGATGAAAAGCAATAAAGCTTTTTTATTAAACATCTGTGAATAAAATGCATAAATAGCTATAAAAAAAAAAAAAGAAGTCTCACACCATATGTGCATTGTTTCAGGAATATGATTCTTTTTCTGTGTAAAACACTTTCCAAAGCTTTATTATCATGTTATATCTAATAATATTCCAGCCGGAAAAGGAGCCATCAAACACGGCCTGTCCTTGAAAGTCACTGAAAGCAGAGCTCATATTTAGACAATGATCAGGAAGTAGAGGGGAGCGATGGGGCGAAAGAGAAGACAAGGAGAGAGAGTGTTTGTCAGACATTCACTGAGCACTCAGCATCAGTTTCTGCTCTGTCATCTACTGGCACACACACGCACACACACACACACACACACACACACACACACACATTCACACTCACAGAGGAGAACAGGCACAGCGATGAGGGAGGAACATGGAGGGGGAAGGTGCAGTGAGGGCAGAGTTGGCCTGTAGAGAGAGAGAGAGAAAGGGAGGGAATGGAGAGCATAAAATAAGTAGGTGAGAGACGCACAATGACGGGATGAGGAGAAGAAGAAAGACAGGGAAGAAGAGGCGGCACAAGAGGAGCATTGGTGCAAAAAGACGAGGGAGAGGCGCAAAACTCAGGGAGCAGTCAAAGTGTTCTCAAGTCATAGCTTTTTATTAACAGCTTGTTAATAGTGCTGTGGATCTATCATCCACCCCCCCCCAAAAAAAACTTCATAGAACCATTTTCGACATTTAAATAAAAGATAAAAAAATAAATTCTATGTAGGGGCACATTGTTGGAAGTGATGTGTTTAAGTGGGAACATTGATGTGGGTGTCCAACAAAGGATGAAGGCTTTGAGTCATCCCTTAACCTGCTGATTTAAATACAGTTCACTGTACTATTTTAAAACCATCTCCGAAGATGTAGAGGAAACTCTTTTCAGACGTGAATTAAAATATACATCCATTTTTGGGTTAGACCTGAAACATAATTGTCAGAGGTCATGTTATGGTGGTGTTAACTGTAATTTCTCACACCCATCTTAAGTATTAAAACTCATCTGGGCCAGGGTGAATCCACTGCTGTCTATGTGGTATCAGCCTAAATAGATCAGAGAAGAAGTACTAGATAGAGCGATAGAGCGTTGAATGATGAGACAGGAAATGGAAACAGAGGATGTAAGGAGGAGGGGGTGATGGGAGAGCAGAAGCGGAGGAGAGCAGTGAGGGGGGGGGGGTAGAGGGGTAGAGAGATAAAGGAAACTATTGTAGATACTTCAGAAAAGGACCCCTGCCTCGTTTAGGGGGCTCATATTCAAACAAACATATTCTGGTGTGCCGACAATCGTAAACAAATATTATTTTGTCATCATGAAGCAATTCACAGCAACGAATGTATAAAATGAGAGAATGTGTAAATAGACTGTAGCCTATAGAAAGATATACAATCTATGGCGTAAACCCTGTTATAATTATATTTTGCTCTATAGTATTCAAGTGTCGAAACTGGATAGAGATCCTAGATACGAGGTCAGAAAAAAATATGATGTAGGGGGAGTAATTTGTAAGAGGCAACAGGAGCATTAATGGTCACAACAGGCGAAAGCATCTCATAAATAAATGTGGTTAGTGTGTGTGAGTATGTTTGCGTGTGGCTTATCTCTGTGCAGCCCATCATCAGCGTTATTCACAAGGTGAACATTTACTAAAGTAAGAGGCAGGAGGGAGCCGTGTCTCTAAATGAGAGGCTGCATGTTGTTGTACGGCATCAAACACTCGTTGGAACTGCAGGTGGAGATTTAGGGAATACATATTCTGTTCTGCTGCGGAGTGTATTCAGGAGCCAGTTTCCATCACAGAGCTGACACAACATGATGAAGTCTTTGTAGCTGTAAATCAAAATAAAATCCCCTTTTAAACTCCAGGTTTTCTTCTATTTTTTTTTAATCTCACATCACATCAACTTCACAGTGTTTCCACTCCTATAAAAAATTACTGCATACTGTATTGTGAATATGAGCAAACCGAACACCTCATGTAGGCAGGTGACTATTTTGATTGATTTATTTTTATCATTGTGTCATGCACATTATGCGTCCAGCCTGAAACAGGCTTACAGACGCCTTTAAAAGTGAAAAAAAGAAGGAGAGAAACCAAAAATACAAACCTTATAAACCATCCGGAATTTTTTTTTATCAAGGTTTAGAAAAATGGTTGTCGACTTATAAGCCTTACAACTAAACAACAGTTCCATTCTGTCCTCATCAGTGCAACAGAACATTTCTGGATTTTGAACATGTAATTCATGTAATAAAGCTCGTCTTAACTCATCATCATGAGGGAAATGTTATTCATTCTCAACCTCTCTTAAATTCACACTATTCACGCAGCAGTCGTCCTCAGGGAGGTTTTTAAATCCACTAACTTCGAGGGCCAGTGGAAGAAATCCTGTTCTCAGCTGTGCAACTAAAGACCTTTTACTCGTCCATAAGTTTGCTGCAACATACGATACAGTGCCATTACTGTGCTCGATTTGAATACATGTTCGTAATTTTGGTTTTGACACAGTATCTTGTAACGATTTTTCTTAATTTGGTTCAAGCTGCATGATGAATTATTTCTATACAGATATTTGAATTCAGTATCTTCAAAATCCTTCCTGTTAACCCTGTTGTCAGACATATTGTGAAATATTGGTGAAAAGAGGGGACAAGGGAAGAAGGAAAAAGACATTACATTTTGGGCTGGATCTGGATAAGGGGCCGGGTAAAAGATTTTGTGAATTTCCCAAGAAATAATCAATGGATCTTAAAAAATAAATTAATCAAGCATAAGGGACTGTTATCTAGTGTGCAATTTGGAGCAGCTTGATTCAATGTAAGAGGACTGTCTGGCCTTGATGGAGGCATGCACTGAGCTGAGTGACGTTCTAGTTCTGTTGCACTTTCCTTTCTTTACTTGTATTTTTTCTCAAACTCACAACTTCCCCTTCTTCTCCAGGGCTATCTGTCCGAGGGTCTGGTGACTAAGTGGTACTGTTCCCCCCGTCTGCTCCTGTCCCCCAACAACTACACCAAGGCAATAGACATGTGGGCCGCAGGCTGTATACTGGCTGAGATGCTGACTGGACGCATGCTGTTTGCAGGTAGCTTGTTTATCACGCAGTCTGCCTTCAAGACCTCCGCCCAGGTCACCACGACCATGATGAACAGAAGCATTATGAAATTGCTTATTGTAAATTTGATGGCAGAAAAAATATGATCACGTCATTAGTAGTCAGTAGAAGCATTTCATAACTTAAATACCTTTTTGGGAAATGTGTTTCTAGGAACTGGCAGGTTTCCAGATTCACTTTCTGGTATTTTTTTAAAATTATTTTTCACATCTATGTGGTCTGACTGTGTGTTTTACTCTCAGGAAAAAAACATACATTACATACATTATACATTACATACATTAAACATTTAAGTACATGTTATGTAAAAATATATGTAGATATGGAATATTCTTCCCTCTGCCCTCCACTAAAGATGCTTCATTCTTTTGTTCAGCAGGCTACTTCTTTGTCTGACCGGAATAACAATGATGAGAGATGTAGTTTGTCATGACAGGTTGTTTTGACCTCCAGCAGCCCTCTACATCACAGGAGAGATGATGTCATAAACTCAATGACATTATTGCTTCCTTGGTGTTCTGCTAGAAAAATAGATTTTTGACTTTATTTTCACTAAACCAGAACAGTTCACATGGCACGATGTATTTTGGTTTAGAGGAGAAGCAATGTTCTCTCATTCCAAAACACTTCAACTGCTTCTTTATTTCCTAGAGGGGTCAGTGGGTTGATATAGCTCCACCTGCTGGAGGTCTTTGAGTTGACTCTGAGCTTTGCACACGTTCACATTAGTTTTTCTCCATCAGTTGTCAAAGGTACTTTACCATGTCTTTCACTACACAGCTCACAGCTCCTAATTATTCCTCTTTGACTCTAATTGGCCTTTTTTCTGCTCATGTAACTGATCGTCCATCTCTTCCTTTGCTCGCCTCTCGTTGGCTGATTCCCTCTGCAGGAGCTCACGAGCTGGAGCAGATGCAGCTGATCCTGGACACAGTGCCGGTGCTGAGAGAGGAGGACAGACAGGACCTGCTTCAGGTGACACCTCACATTGTTCGTGGACAATGAATGAGTGTTGTTCAGGGAGCCTCCACCTCCGACATATCTGACAGACTTTCTTTGGAGAGGTTGAAACTGAGTGTGATCTGAGGCAGAATGATAATGGTGTTAAAATGAAATACATATAGTATAGACATTTAGTTGACACTGTTGCCCTCTGCTGTTCTTATTTAGTTACAACAATTCTTCCTTTAACGCGATAGAGCCAAAGTAATACTTCAGGCTTTACACATTTAATCTGATAAGAAAACAATTAACCTCCATGAGTCATCGAACATTGAATAAATGTTATGAAACATTTCAAGGTTTCCAAGAAATGCTTATCCAACAAGTCCACCTGGTGGCTTTTATATGATCAAAGACATATTGTGTGCTAAATCTGCAGTGTGGTTGAGTATTGAAGAAAAATAACAGATTCAGACAGCCTACATGTGTGATGTCACAAACCCAGAAACCATCCTGTTTGCTTGTGGGTGGGGCTCCGCAGCTGGAAAAGGCTCCTCAGCTGCAGGTGAGAGGAGAGGGTGGAGAGACAGGGAGCAGGAGGGGGCTAAATTAGCAAAGTCATACATCCGAATCATAGAATGAAAACTTTTTTCAGGACAAACCTTTTTAATGTGTAATTTTGAGGAGCACAGGAAAGTGTAAGAAGTTACTGGAGGTGCACTTTAATAAGCGCCACCAGATGTTCATCCACTGCCTCACTTAAGATTGTGAGACGTTAAACAATAAACCTTGCTGGCGATCGAGAGACCAAGTTATTGCTGTGAAACATGTAAGATGACCATAAACACTGTACCCTATTGAATTGAATTTACATTTTACAAAAGAGAAAAAGGAGCAAGTCCATGTTTTTACTGGTTATGATATGAAATATATATTAAAAAATTGTTGGTTGGCCATCATCTGTACATTTTAGAGGAGGGGCAGTCAGTCATGGTCGATGTGTTTGATTAGGGGAGAGATGGAGAGTGAGATAAAGATTGAATGTGTAAAACACCCTGTCTAACATGGGCTCAGCCTGAGCTTTGTTTTCAACTAGAATATGCTCGATAGTAGGAACAAATTAACAAGGATGATTGAAAGTTCCTGAACAGAACCATGCACATATTTGAATTCCACTGTCATCCTTTCTCAGGTGATGCCTTCATATGTCAGTCGTGGATGGAGAGTCAAGAAACCTTTCTCTGAATTGCTGCCTGAAGTGGACGCTCAGGGTGAGCAGAGGGAATCGAGCAGTGGGATGAAGAGGACGGTCAAGCAGTATGAAATAGAATGGGGGACAGATAAGCATAATGGTTTCATTGAGCTGTGAAGGATAGAGAGATGATAAACTATAGTGTGTAGAGGTTTTGATGTGTAACGTAATATATAATGACATTTTTTCAAAGAAGAGCAAACATCATGGTGGTTGCATTTTATTCCTCTTCCTCCCTCACTCATCCCCTCTCCCTCTCTCCCTCTCCTCTCCAGCTGTGGACTTCCTTGAGCGTATCTTGACCTTTAATCCCATGGATCGGCTGACGGCCAAAGCAGCCCTGTCCCATCCCTTTCTCCAGCAGTACTCCTGTCCAGAGGATGAGCCAACCTCGTCACACCCCTTCCACATCGAGGACGAACTGGAGGACAGCCTCATCACCGAGCAGAGCCTCAGCAACAGTCAGGCCTCCAGCATCCACTGGGACAGGTGTGTAGGCTCATGTTTTAAATGTACATACTGTAAATAAATCTTATTATAAGAGCAATGTAAGCGCTTCAATTTTTACTTTCCTTCAGGTATGAGAACAGTTTATCAGCAGATGTTTGCTGGCGGCAGTCGGGAGGGAGGTGCCGCTGCATGCCCTCTGCCCACATGACCTCTGACCTGGGAGACACGACGGAGGATGAGGAGGTGCAGAGGGATCCCCGGGCAAATTCCACCTCACTGCTAGAGGAGGCTCAGGTTTTTCTCCTTTTACTTCTTTCATTGTCATTTTCTCTCATACTGACATGTTTTATTTGGTTTACCACGTGATTATGGGCAAAATTTTATTTGATCAAATACCAAATTGTTTGCAAAGGCAAGTTACCGTCACTGTATTATTTCAATGTCTTGAACTTTATGATGTCAAAGTTTGTTGCTGTTACAATTAGTTAGAAATCAATATGAGACGTTCATCACATAACCAGAATTAATTCCTCACTTTATCACCATCTTCCTCCCCCACCTGCCTCCCTCTGTTTGTCTTTAACAGGTGGACCCACGGAAATATTCCCATAGCAGCTCAGCTGAACGCTTCCTGGAAAACTCCCACTCCTCTCTGGAGCGGGCCTGTGGTTTGGGACAAGGGGAACTGGACTGCGGCCGCTCCTGTGACTACAAAGTGGGATCTCCCTCATATCTGGATAAAATTGCCTGGAGGGAGGGCAAGCCTCAACACTACTCGGAGCCTAAGCTGATACTGGATCTGTCTCACTGGAAGCGCAACACCAACATCCTTCCTGTGCCTGCTGAGCCCATTGGTGGCAGCATGGAGGACCTGGGAGAGATGAAGGTGGAGGAGGCAGAAGAGGAAGAAGAGGAGGAGACGGGCGATTTGTTCCAGGAGATCTCTCGCTGGGTACAGAGCACCCAGTCTCGTCTGCACTCGCCCAGTCCCAGTCCAAGTTTGGAGCCACATTCACCCTCCTGCTACACCTTCTCCCCCCCTCTCCCTCTCTCCCCGACTGATCTCCCAACTCCAGTCTTCCACTACACAGAAGTTGTGAGGCAACCGTCAGCTGAATATGATGAGAACAGACTAAGCCCACATCCGCCTCTTACATCTTCCTCCAATTCCCTTCCCTCACTCCTCCCCACATCTCCCACGTCTCCACTTCCTCCTCAGTCACCTCCAACAGTTTTTCCCCCACTTTTTCCTCCCTCAGAATCTCAGCCCCTCTCCTCTACTTCCTCCATTTCTCAGCCTGTTAAAGAGGACTCTATGGAGTCGCTTCCTGTCAAGCAAAAAGATCGTCTTTTTGACCTGGATGTCTTCATATCCCGAGCTCTGAAACTGTGCAGGCAGAACAAGGAGAAAGCAGACGGAAAGAAAGGAAGGGAGAAAGATGGAGGGTGGAGAGATGAGAGCAAACAGCCAAACATTAACAGAAAGGTGCCCAGGCTTCCAGAGTACAGGACTCCACCACCACACACCCCTAACTCTTGATGTTTCATTTCAGCTTCAGGCCCAGCAAATGCTTCACATGGTGAGTATGCAGCTTAAACATGAGACCTTAGTGTTTTCAGTTTGATACGCAACCTGTGGTGACGGAAGCCTCACTGAAGAAATCCTGCAGCTTTCTCAAGATGTCCTCTCAGGTCAGAAGAGGAAAGGGAGCATTTGGGGTAAATACAAATGCCTATGTTAATAGCAATGAGTTGTTTGATGTGAGAGTATTTAGAAATAATTATCTAATATATGTTTGTGGAATATTTGATTTGCTATAATTTGTTAAGTTTAAGATACATTTGCCTTGATTACAGCTTATTCTATGACACAAATGTCGAACTAATGACTTCTGGGAACAGTAAATAAGAGATATGCAGGCCAATGATAACAAATGAAGAGGTATCACTTGGTTTAGTTTTGCTCTGGTTTGGTTTTTGCTCCTACTGAGTTTTAATCATTCACTCATTACTCGAAACGTCCGGCTGTCTTCCAAAGGTGATGTTCACCAAATAATGAAAGTGACACAAGAAACGCTTCCTCCATGTTTCTCTGAATGTATTAACTGAAAAATACTCACGTTATGCTACATGGAATAACCATTAGCATTTTTATTTGTTGATGCGTCAACAGTAACTTGATGATCTCTGTCACTGATTCATGCCTTGTAAACTTGTATAAAACTCTTATTTAATTCTATAGTATATTTCTTAAGACTATTGTCTTGATATTGTGTCTGGAATATTGTTGTTTTATTATTTGAACGCTAGAGGAGCAGATTTATCTTAACTTGGAGTGAGTTGTGTTCTGTGTCATGTGGAATGCTCTGTTGTTATCATTTACGATTTTTTTCAGCAGGTTTTGCTCTAGTTTGTTTGATTGTTAATAGTTTCATATCTTTTCTGCCTGAAACTGGGGTCTTCCTCTGCTGTTTATTTTACTGTGCTCTCCTGCCGGACAGCCAGTTATCTGTCATCATTTATTGTGGCCACAGAAATCTCAAACAACAGTAGCCTATATATTTTGGAGAATGTAGATTCTTTGCAGCTTTTCAAGGAAACGATTTGTACTCAAAATGTCTCAGTGCTGCCCAACAACCATATTGATGTATGGTGTACAAAATAAACCAAGTATATATTTTTAAAATACTTTTCTATCCAGCATGTTGGAGAGTTGATCCCCCCCATAGCTTCACCAAGGAAACCAAATCAGGTAATAGATACAATCAGAAACCGATGAAGGCCATTGATTTATGTCACAAACTTTCTCAATCATGTGCTTCAGACATTCATTTAACTTGTCAAAATATAAAAGGTACTATAGCAAATGGAAATATAGACATTTCAATTATTCTACTGAGTTGGTGCCAACAAGACAGTTGAATGCACGTGCCCCTTATTCTGCAGCCAGAGAAACAGGTTTATTTTTGTTCTGCTGTGACTGTACACGTTGAGTAAATGCAGCCCATAGACAACAGTGAGTGGGCTGTAAATACACAAGGGTACAGCTACTGGAAATGTCAGAGGTCACTGACATGTTAAAAATACACTGCCAGGACAGATAGACCGCCCCAAAATAAGAAAATATTCTAGTTTCAGTCCAGCATCTGTTACCCAATCTGATGAGCATTTCTATAGTCAATTTACAACCAATCTCTCAATACCTCTTAGATATCAGTTCAATTAAATTAGTCCATAAAATCCATGCGAGCCACACTCAGAACACTATGCTTTTGTTTGCAGTACCTTAAGCCAAGTATTTAAGCAGCTGTTAACAGGTACTGCACATTTCACCTGAAATGCGCACTTTCCTAATATCTTCAGCTTCTATACTCGCTGTGGCCAACAACACAGGATATTAGCAGATCATCACTTGCACAACACAGTATGACTGCCTAAGGATTGAGCCATATGTGAGAATTGGTAACGGTGCAGCTTCTGATACAGCAAAGCCAGGTGTGGTCCTTTATATTCACAATAGACATGAAGCACATTTAGAGTCACTAGCACATTTAGAAATACAGGTTTTCCTCAGTGAGTACTGAAACTCCACCACTGTCAATTTTCATTTTAAGGTTTGAACCAGGGGCAAATGATTGTTGGACAAACTGACAAAAGGGTGAAGTGCGAAACTTTGTTTATTTATAGAAACAAATGAAATTTGTGCTGCAGTTAAACTTATTAAAATAAATCAACAATAATAATAATAAATTAACCTATACAGGTCTAATGATCACATTTTGCATCATGCAGTTTCTTCTGCAGGTAACCTAAGCCAGCAATAACACCATTGACGCATAACACACATATGGTTACTGAGCCTGATTTCTTTTAAATGTGTGAAGCAATGTAGAAAATGTGCCTCTGTACACCTCAATGCTTCCAGCTTGCTGAATGTAACATATCCTCCTCTCCTGTCTGCATGGCTTCTCACAGATGTTCATATCGCTCGATCTCTGTTGTTTTTACGATTTCACTTTGTGAAACTTTGTACTCATGCTTCACAGAGGCTCCAGCTTCTCATTTAGGAAAAGCTGTGAGGTTTTTAAATGCTCAGTAATGATTGATAGTATCTCTTTTTGCAGTTTCTGCTTTTGCTGGACAATTAATAAACCAATACTTAAACTATTATTGGATCTCATGTTTTTAATGGTACTTCATAACTGTCAAATGTTTATTTTTCTAAGGACAGGGTACACAGACCAATACACCAATTTAGTTTACTACCAAATTACAATACACATCATCTCAAGGCACTTAGTAAGGTTGAGACCTTACAGTATTATAGAGAAACCCAAATGTTCCTACAATGACCAAACACTACTTATTACACTTTTTCAGTGAGAGAGCATCAGAGATGAAAGAAAGTATGGTTTGAAAATTTTCTTAGATAAGATAAGATCCGAAATATGATGATAAGCTATGACCAGATAAGATCAGGTAGGAAAGTCCTAAAAAAAAAAACTAATTACAAAAAAACTAATATTGAGATCATTGTCTTTCATAACAATTACGGTAGACCAGCTCCCCCCGGTAAACCCCCCCTGCGCATGTTGCAGTGTGTACGGTACGTATGAAGGAAAGGAGCTGTGATTGGTCGAGCCTCCTCCTGTCCTCCTCACCGGCGCTCCGCTGCATCCGCGGCCGCTGACAAACACTCGCTGAGCGGCCACACACGCTCTGACCTCCGCGGCGAACACAGCGAACCACGCCGGGAAACATGCTCAATAAAGAGTGACCTTTCCGACGGAAGCAGCCGCAGTGTTTTAAAAACCGAAGAGCAGGTGAGTGGAGCCGCTATCCTCCATCAACACGGACCGTGAGAGAAGTTCCCTGTTGGTGAATGAATGACAACATGTCAGTCATGGGGCTGAGGGGGGGGGGGTCCTTCCTGGTGTGAGCATGTGTCGGTTCAGTAAAGACTTAAATAAACAGTGGGTGTTCATGTCGTTCACTTGTTACCGGGACTCAGATAACCTCACAGCCGGGTTTGTTACGGCTCAGCCAGCCTAGGTGTTAGCTTGTCGCGGTTGTTAGCCGCTTCTCGTGTGTGGCTGCTGATGGTGCATGAGATGGCTAAGCTAACTCGTTAGCTTGCCACTTCAGGGACTTGCACACATGCCCATCAGGTTTTTTTTCTCCTGCGTAAAACTATTCGTCATCCGTTCATACTCAGCAGTGATGAGTTCCATCTCTCAACAGAAGATGGAAGCAGTAACAGCGAGGGATCATCTCTCTGTTGTTTTGTTAGTGATGCTCATTGAAAAAAAGATATAAGTGATGGAACCAAGTGTTTGCACTGTCCCTACTGTCATTGTTTTATCAGCATATGAGCACACACCACACAGCAGCTAAATAACAACTATCATTCACAGATTCCTCACACAATGAGTATTATACACCTTATTTTCATAGCACTTATCTAAACCAGGATGCAAATGATTCAGAAGAGAACATATATTCACAAAACGCCCATGAAAATAAACACCTGTGCAATACTTAATGATGTGAATCAATGTCAGCATCTGTACTCATCTATCTGGAACAAGCTGTTAATGTCTGCTTTGTGATTTCAGATGGGGTTTGGTTTCTAAAAGACTATTACTAATGAAGCAATTAACGCCCATAGCCGCTCATAAAAATAAACTAACACAGTGTGATTGACATATAAATGACTGTTGGACTGTTTGATCTGCCATTTGAGTGGCTTTTCTATTTACTGATCTTGTCTGGGTTTATATCTTCTTGGTTTTGTGTGAGTGTTTAGTGAGGAATGATGGAGGGCAGGGAAATGTTTCACAGCACAGAAGATTCCTGTTTGTCACATTAACTGGCTCTGGGTTTGTTCTGTTGCCACCTGAGCTCAGCCTCATGTTCATCCAGGCCATGAAATAATTGAATGCCTTTTTCTCATTCCTGTTCTTTTGTAATAGCAGTTGATTGTTGTTTCCTCACGATTCTTGCATTTCAAATGCAGTGCTTCTTGTTTCAAGACCCGCTAACCTCTGTGGCTTAAGGAACAAATATAGAAACAGCATGCAAAGATGTTGCTGACCCCCTCATAATAACTGCTTACAGGCCCAGTTGCATTTCCTCTGGCTTGGGTCCCGACGTTAAGCAAAATATTCAAGGTTTCCTCTATTGATGCAGGCGCTGATATGTCACATATGATTTTTGAGATTGTTGGGATGCATGTTATCAGCTCGTCTTTCCTATCTGTCGGCTTGTGTCAACATGATTCTGTGTTTTCTCTGTCTTCGTGTGGAGCTCATTTCGAAAAGGATTATGACGATCTTTCAAGGCTTTGTTTCTCAGACCATGGACTAAATCACTTCTGTCTACATCCAGATTAAAGACTGGCCACTGTCGTCAGCGTGTGTAATCCGTGACTAGTGGGTTTCTGTGAATATAAGGGAGTGTCAGACAGTACTGATTGTTGAAGTTTCATATTGTGCCAAGGTGTGACGATGTCATGTGTAAAGGTCACGTTAGTGGTTCAAGGTCTTGATAGTCGGAAGCAATGACTTTAACAATCCATTGACATCTGGGACTTTCACATTCATTCAGACAATAAAACTTCAGATTGACATGAGTGGATTTCTTTTTATCTTTGATCTCAGGGCAAGCCAACTTTAATAGGAGGTGATAAGAAGTTAGAAGCTCTGTAAGTGTCCTCACATTGTCTTCGCACATATTGTACAACCACTCAAGTGTAAAAACTGTCACAAACCTGGTATCATTCAGAAACCTTGTCTAACCCAAGATACATTTTTAACTCAGTTTCTATTTTCCTCTCTCAGCAGCTTTCTACCAGTGCACCTTCCAGACCAGTGGCTGTCCACCATGTTGTCCAGGTTGAGGACAGCCTGGTCCCTGAGGCCCTGTGTCTCTGTTTGCAGATGGGCACACACGAAAGACAAGGGCAAGCCCCTCATGCTCAACCCTCGCACCAACAAAGTGAGTGGATTCATGAAATGTGTTTGTGTGTCTGCATCTTTACGGACATGCTTGTTTAAACAGATGGCAGCTTTAACACGACTTGCATCATTGATCCATGCCAATTATGTCACAGTGTAAAGTAAGCTAATTGACATGGAAGGAAATAATGTATGTCAAGAACCTGACTGCAGGCCATAACTGCAGCATATATAATGTAAATGTCAATTTCTAAACTGTCAAATTTGTGGCTGTAGATAATTGTTACTTTTCTTCATATAACTTCACTATATTTTTTTGCTCCCTCACTTTGTCCCATACAAGGTGTACATTTAACAGCAGAGTTATATTGTAATGCAAAGGATTGGAATTGACTGGAATTCTTGCAAACTGTTTGTTATTACAATAGTTTCCCATTTTTCTCTTTGAAAACAAAAAGTTACATTTCCGTAGATTTGAGGAAATTTTATTTGACCCCCAGATTATAATATTTCTACTAAAAGTGTAAAAGTATTCACATGTAATGATCACCAAATAAGGAGATACACTGAGCAGTGTGAAGTCGATACAGGACAAACATGACCACCAGCCAGAATCAGCTGGCTGGTGGCTGCTGTTTATGTTCCCCTGCTGTCTGACTCAGCCTCTCGTCTCACACTTGGTTTGAATTGATCCCTGAAGGGGAGGATTCTCTGGCTTCTATGAGACTAAACATATTAATTATGTCATTTTAATCTGTTCAAAGCAGCTGTACTTTGCACTTGGAGCAGAATTAAAACTAAAAACCCACATTAGTGTTTCTAAATAGTGTTTTGACTCATGCCATATTTATTGAGAAGAAGAACCTAACATGATTTTTGTTCTGAACTCTTTGCCTCACAAAATAATTGCCTCTTAAATCTGGGATGACAACATTTTATACATTTCATAGAACAACTGAATTTGTAAACTTAAAGCTGAAAAGCTGAATTGTCTTTTGGGTTTCTAAGCAAACCTAGCATCACAGTTGGGTGTGGTCAGAAAGGTCTGTGAAATAATTGCTCGGTGTGATATTCTATGTGTACTACTGCCTTGTGTTTAAAAGGCCCTGTGTAAATAAACATGCCATGCACTTGTAACCACACCCGACAGGACTGTCTCCTCCACATATCTGCAGCATGATGAGGACATCACCTGACCAAAAAACTCTTCTCAGCTGGTGGAACTTGCTTCCTGATGTATATTTGAGACCCTTTACAGATGTGTCTCACATTGTTTGGTAGCTTGAATTTGACATTTTTGATTCATGCTGTGTAATTTTTGGCTAGAAGGAGTTTGATATCAGGTTTCTTTCATGACTTTAAGTAACAAATTACTTTTGTAAGACGAGCCTGTGGCTGCTAGAAGTGACAGGATCTCACACTGTGCAGGTTTTGCTAAACTTAGAGTCTTGACATTTTGTGCTAATAATAGACATGCCATGCTCCATGTGAACTGGTCACAGGCCAGCTGGACCTTGGTCCTAGAAACACTCTACACACAGCATCTACTTTCACATTGCATTTCCTATTGTGCTCATTTTATTTAGTTTGCATCATCATGACTGCCGTGCTCACTTGCTCACTTAATCATCAAGGATTGAATGGACCCTTTATATTTTAATACTTTATATTTACGTAGTGAGCAGGTCCTCTTTTTTACAGTAGCCCAAACTGCACAAACTAAAAACATTTTTTTATGGCTACCACATGTTCTCTTTAATGTTTGCAACTTCACATCGAGTTCTCACGAAATTCTACTTTTCTTATCACACATTACACCTACTGCATGTGGCTGATTTGCCCCAAACTGCATACCACCCATTACATTCAAGTCAGCTGTGTCTGAAAACGACATGAACTGAATCGTTCACATTGCACACTCAGCAAGATGAAAATTAAAGAATTAAAGTTGTATTAAAATAAATAATAATAATAAAATGATGCTGTGCTGTGCACTACCCCAATTCACACACGCAACACATCAAATACAAACTTTCACCACGTTTACACAAATTACGTGACTTCCTGTAGGTAAAATCTCTTTGCAGGATCGATTGTCCACCTGGAATAATTTAATTAACACACTATAAATATTGAAGAAATGTAACTCAAACCTAAAAAATTTTGTCCAGAAATTCAGCAGTTTAGAAAACAATTACAGTGTTTTGTCCTTTAGAAATTAAAAGCTTTCTGACTTACAGAAGGACAAAGCAGATAATATCAACAGATTTATTTAAGATGTACATTCTCAAACATTACACATAACTTTTCAGGAAATACATTATTTTATAGTTTATAGATAAAGCTAATTTCCCAGACCAACTTGAGCACTGATGATAGACGCTGAACAGATTTCTGAGGAAACCAGGTTTCTAACTTTCATTTAAGCCCGAAAAGGGAAGAGCAGAATCTGGATATCAGAGGTTTGCAGCTTGTTGCACGATGTCGAGAGGAATTGAGTACCAGAGCTCTGTGAAAAGAAAGGCTGCATCAGCATGACTCAGCATTTTGCTTCGGGAGCCCCCAGCTTTCATATCTCACACAAGCCCTTCCCCAGCCCCAGAATTAATGGCCTCCATATGTTCCCCCCCATACATCACACAGGGCTGGTAAACCCACATGCACAGGAACATGAAAACACTTTACTGCCCTCGCTCAACGCCCCCATCCTCTATTTTACAAATGGGTGTTTCTGCCTACAGCGTTCTTCATTGGCTTCTTAGAGGCTACTCCCCTCTCTTAACTCCTATTCCTCCTTTACCCTGCTGCAGTTTATTTCCTCCTGCTCTCCTTCCTTTCACCCAGCTGCCAGTTTCTCATGTCAAGTCTCATAGGTCACGTCTGTCTCAGGGCTCAGACGCCCTCTTGCGACAAAACTGCATCACAGTATGTGATTGAGTACGTTTTCGGGACAACTAAAAAGGAGGAGTTGCACCAAAGAGCTTTATAGTCATGATAAAGGAACAATAACACTAGTATGAAGGAAAACAGGGTAAAGCAAAATAAAGAAAATAAGATAAGATTTAAAAATTATATTATAGAGTAAAGAGAGAATCAGGCCTGATTAAACATCAAACAGAGATTGAGGTTTACATATGAAAGCCTTAATTCAATATTGACAATAATGTGGAATGAAAATAAGTCTTAGTTAGAAATGATCTGGTCTCCCCCACTCACTCCTCTCTCTGTTTCTCTGTGTTTCTCTCCAGGGCATGGCCTTCTCTCTACAGGAGCGACAGATGTTAGGGATACATGGTCTGTTGCCGCCAAAAGTTGAGACCCAAGACATTCAGGCCATGCGTTTTCAGAAAAATCTCAAGAAAATGACTGATCCCCTTGAGAAGTGAGGCCATATATTGTTGGAGAGTTAGACTGAAGCCACAAAATGCTTTTCTTTGAAGCAACTGTTAATAATATATTAATGTTAAAAATGTCCTTAGAGCAATTCCTAAATTGCCATTGCTTTCCATGCAGGTACATCTACTTGATGGGCATCCAGGAGAGAAATGAAAAGCTTTTCTATAGAGTGTTGATGGAAGACATAGAGGACCTGATGCCAATAGTTTACACTCCCACTGTGGGCCTGGCCTGCACACAATATGGACACATCTTTAGAAGACCAAAGTAAGGAAGCAGTAAAGAATTCAAAAATCAGCTCCAGACAAAAGCAAAATGAATATATTTACATGTAATTAAAGGGTTCTGCTGGATTAGGCAAAGGCTTTGATTGGAGCAGTTGACATTTTATTATAAAGCTGAATAGATCTGTATTTTACCTTCTTTTTTATTTAGAGGTTTGTTCATCTCCATTCTGGACAAAGGACACATTCGCTCCATCCTGGACAACTGGCCAGAGACTAATGTCTCAGTAAGTAAAACCTCATTCAATCCTCTTAAACCAATATATAAGATTTAAAAAAAAAAATACAGTGTGGATTTTGACATTGTAGGGTGATGATAATCAGTAGATAGAAATCCTATAACTGTCCTTATTTTCTACATTCCCCTGGTTAATGTCCAGTTCAATATTACTCACAGCTGTGCATTTGTAAAATTTGCTTACTAACACACTTCTTTTTACCCACCCCATCTCTCTCTCTCTCTCTGTGTCCCTACTCCGCAGGCAGTAGTAGTTACTGATGGAGAGCGTATTTTAGGATTAGGGGACCTTGGCGTTTATGGAATGGGTATCCCTGTTGGAAAACTTTGCCTGTACACCGCCTGTGCTGGCATCAGACCTGAGAAGTGTCTGCCTGTGACGATAGATGTTGGCACAAACAATGAGGTAGGAAGGCTGTGTTTTCTGATCACTGTGTCTGTACTTTTTTGGCGAGAGAAGGAAAAACTGCTCATCCATCTCATATTTGTTCCCTTCAGACCCTCCTGAGAGATCCACTGTACATGGGCCTGTACCAGAAGCGAGACCAATCTCAAGCCTACGATGATTTGATTGATGAGTTCATGGAAGCTGTGGTGGAAAAATATGGACAGGACACGCTGATCCAATTTGAGGACTTCGGGAACCACAATGCCTTCCGCTTCCTCAGGAAGTATAGAGAGAAGTACTGCACCTTCAATGACGACATCCAAGGTTCACACATAACCACTCACACAGATTTACAAGTTGTACTTTGTAATGTTATGTGTTATATATTTTTCTTTGAGCACATACTTTAGGAAAACCAAATGAAATATTTGACATGTTACTGCTGCAAGAGACCGTTTGGAACAGCTGTTTTTAGGAACTAGGTGTTGCAACATGCTAGTTTAATTATATAGAGTTGTGTTATATGGGAATTGAACCAAGAAATGTGAAAAGTGAATGGACCCACTCTACCCCTGTACCTTAAAACAAATGGGGACAAATCTGTTCTCTTTAAGGCAGGTACTTAACTGTATGCTGTTCTGTATTTTGCATATTTCCAGGCACTGCTTCTGTAGCTCTGGCTGGTCTGTTAGCAGCTCAGAGAGCTGTTGGCAAACCCATCACTGAACACCGGGTTCTTTTCTTGGGAGCTGGAGAGGTAAGATAACATTTAATGGTCAATCTTTGTTTCTTACACCCCCCCTTTTTTTTATTTCTGCAATTTGGAACACAAAATCCCATGTGTCAAAAAAAGTAGGTCCATTTGTAAGAGTTATACTGCCCACTGCTGACAGGAGCTGGGGAAACAAATTAGAAATAATTGTCAAGATTTCTGAAGGATCAAAACTGTGGTCAGCATTCAACAGAACATTTAATGGAAAATTAGGATTTCTTAAGTCGTTCCCTTATAAAAAAAAAAAAAAAAAAAAAAGTGTTAAACACTTAATGAGGTTATTTTCTCTACAGGCCGCCCTTGGTATTGCCAATCTGATTGTCATGGCCATGATGGAGTCAGGAGTGTCCCAAGCTGAAGCCAGAAAAAAGATCTGGATGTATGACAAACATGGCTTACTAGTAAAGGTTAGTGTAGCTGTATGACTTGCTGTCTGGCTCCTCGCTGTTTGTACAACATGTAATTGGTGCACAGTGGTAATGATTTATTGTTACCATTGCTGTACTGTATGTTGCTGTAGGACAGACCGCAGGAAACAGACAGCAATCAGGAGGTGTTTGTCCACGACAGTCCAGGAGACATACAGAGCTTCCTAGATGCTGTCAACACCATTAAACCCACGGCTATCATAGGTACGGAACCTTTTCTACACTCATGTAACTTTAAAGCCTCTTGGTGCAATCTGCAATGAGCTGCTAATAAAGAATCGTAAAATGTATGTTTTTACTTAGTACATGCAATCAAATCTGGTAGAGTGAATAATTAGATGTTTATTATTTTTATTTCTTCAAGCTGTTAAGACTAACTTGTTTTTGGGGTTATTGGGGTTATTGCAAGTATACTGTCTATAAGTTGGTACTTTTATAGTAGATGAAAAGTCTACAGCAATTATTGTTTCCCCTGCCCACTTTCAGGTGTCGCAGGAGCTGGACGTCTGTTCACCGACGATGTCATCAAGGCCATGGCAGCCCTGAACGAACGACCAATCATCTTTGCCCTGAGTAACCCAACCAATAGAGCAGAGTGCACAGCAGAGGATGCCTACACTCTCACTGATGTACGCAGCTCTTTCCTTCTGTTTGTATAACTCGTAAACCAAGCATTAATCGTTCCTGTCAAACCACTGTCTGTCTTTTTCTTCATCTCTTTCCTCTTTGTTTTCTGTCCCACAGGGCAGATGTCTTTTTGCCAGTGGGAGCCCATTTGGTCCAGTGACTCTGAGCGATGGCCGTGTCTTCACTCCTGGACAAGGGAACAATGCTTACATCTTCCCAGGTGAAAAGACAGTTGAAGTGATATGAGGACTTGCAGTGGTCAATAGTGTGAACAATGACCAAAGCCAAGTGTTTACATTTCCACATTTGATTATTCTGATGGTAAATATTTAAAGCACATGCTGTGTGTTTGCTGCAGGTGTGGCCCTGGCTGTGATCCTGAGCGGAGTGAGACACATCAGTGACACAGTGTTCTTAGAGGCTGCCAAGGTCTGAAGTAGTGTGACGTATCTCTCCATCCTATCTTTGAACTTGCCCTCTCCCCATTCTGCATTCTTGCCGTCTCTGTCTTGTATGCATTTGCTTCGTAACCTCCTCTAAATCCTCTTTAACCCTTTGCTGTCTCCTCTTCTCTCTCTTTCTAGACTCTGGCATAACAGCTAATGGATGAGAATCCTGCTTTTCACTTGTTCCATCTGTGTTCTTCCCTCTTTTGCTGAAATGATAAAAATCACAAAAGCCTCTTTTTGCAAAAAATTTATATTAATGACACTTTTATTTGCGTGGTGTTAATATTAGTAGCAGTGATTTGGTCGTTTCTTTGACTAGAGCTAACAATTCTTATTTTTCATAGATCTTATTATCCTTATTTGGTTTCATATCTCTCAAACAGCAGGCTGTATATATAGCATAGTAGTAGTGGCCATGGCTGTGCTGTTGAGACCAACAAAGAAATGTATCTTGTGATTAAATTGATTTTATACTTCCAGACTCTTGCAGAGCAGCTGACCGATAAAGAGCTGGAAGAAGGCCGACTTTATCCTCCTCTTTCCAACATCAGAGACGTTTCTGTCCAGATGGCTGTCAAGGTATGTCTGTGGAAAGTTTGGCCACTGTTTTACCTGTTAATGTTAATTAAAATCTTAACCGTTCCTGGCTTAAGTTACCCTCTAGATCTGATTCTCCAAATTCATGAGCCTGACAAACTTAACCAGATGAAACACTAACATTGCTTTCAACAACTTCTCAAAACAACATTTTGGTAGCACGAGTCTGCTTCCCAGTTAGACTTTGCTGTAGTTGCTTTTCTGTTTCCATCTGACAGTCTAAACGCTCTCTTTCTTGCTACAGGTGGTGGAGTTTGTCTATGCTAAAGGCATGGCGTTCCGCTACCCTGAGCCTGAGGACAAGAACAGCTTTGTACGAGCTACTGTCTGGGACATCAACTATGACTCCTTCCTGCCTGACACCTATGACTGGCCCGCTGTCAGCTTCAGCCCCAAGACTAAATAGAAACAGAAGAAATCCTCATTGTTACCCAGGTCATAATGTCACTATCTTTCTTTGTCTTCCACTTTATTCTTAATCACAGATGTTCTGAGATGATCATAGTTATGTTAGTGCTATTGAAGAAAGGGCAGTAGTAACCCCTCATTGCTCTCATGTCACTGCATTTGCACTAACCCAGTCTTATAAGATCTGTGAAAAGGTTGAGTGGAAGGTGCTACTGAGAAAGATTTGGACATTTGAATGGGAACGACCATTCTCTCCTCAAATCACAGTTGTTTTCATATCTTCTCTGCATCTTGTGCAAACCCTCACAGAACAAGAGGGCCATCTGGTGGTGGAAATCTGGTTTTGCTGTTAAATCTCATACATTTAACTCATTACAGAAACACCAAAACACAAACATTAGGTAAATAACATAATGCTTTATCCTAATCCAAACGCTGTAGGGGAAAATTACTTAAGGTAGAAATAGATTTTTGGAAGACAGTGGAGAGGACTGTAATGATTTGTGCCACATTTGCATCAGCATACACTCCATTTCCCTTTAAGAAATGGCCCATAATACTCTTCACCTATTTTAAGAGGTAGTATTTCACTCCATAGTTATTTATTTTAGTTGTGTACACTCCTAATTCAAAACCCCATTCCGATCTTTTCACATTGTTTCACATCAGGTGGACCTTTAGCGTCATAACAGCTGGTCAAAGACATAAAGACATGGTTTATATTTTTAAACCATGTTAATTTGTCTACACTGATCATCAGTACAAGTCCAGATGAACAGAATGCTAAAGAGTTGAGAAAGAAAGAGAAAACAGTGTAGCTGAAAGAAAAAATGAAGTTAGAAATGAAGACACTTTAATGGAAAGTTTTCCGATTTTATGAAGGAAAATCAAATGAAATTTATATCATAAGAAGTTGACAACACATCCAGTGTCCACTCCAATATTGTTTTTCTTCAAACATTCTTTCCTAGAATTTATTTTGTTTCATTTTTTGTGATATTATCAATGTTTTTGCTAAGTCATCCCCACTATTTTGCTTAAGTGTGAAATCCAAATGAATCTAATCTATATCTTAAATATCTAAACAAATGTGTGCAGTATAAAATAATTAGATAAAATCATTATTTTCTACCTAAACTATATTTTACTTACTGTACATGCACTTTTGCAGAAACAGCCTGTCCACAGAAAGTGTATTTATAAAGCTGTGTGTCCGTGTGTGTGTGTGTTTAGCAGGTTGGTGAGGTTGTGAGTTTTGCTCAAGTCAACACACGTCTGCTCTCTGTAGTGGTCGACCATGATCTAGAACAAACTGCAAGTCATAGTGTCTATTTACCAACACAAAGGTGGTTAAAGCTTTGCTTGTGTATCAAGTTATGAACTTGTTTTTCCTTTATTTTGAAATGGAAATTGTTTCTTGCTCGTAATTTACGCTGCAAGCTTCTCAAAAATCATATAATCCTCATAAAAACATAGCGAACAAATAGCGCTGCTGACAGAGGTCACAGACATCCTGACCTTTTAATGTGGTTTTCATTCTCACTTCGTTATGATAAAAACACGTCCATACCTCAAAATGATCCTTAGCTACTACTCGTGCTCTGTTTGGATGCAAAAGGGTGATGATGCCTAAAAGATGGATCGGTGCTGTCAATATTTATTTGTATGAAGTAACCCATTACAATAAAACAGCCTGGTAGTCTATTTTAGTTGTACACAAGGGCATTAGCATTAGCAGTTTCTACAGTATGTAAACATATATATGTATTACTCCTCCAGGATGTTGTTTAGGACCTTCCTGCACTGAAGTGCCTGCAGTTCAGTGTATTCAGTCACTCCATGTTCCACACTGTAGACAGGATGAGGTCATTTTGTAGTATTCAACATGCAGCTTTTCTCCTCACACTCAGAACTTCTGGAGTAGTTTTATTTGAATGAAACGATATGTAGAAACTGTTACACCTCATCAAGTGTTGACTCGCTCTGTGTAGTTGTTGAGAACTGTAATTGTCCAGTATGAGTTGTTACTGTGTGGTGTTCAGTGACTGTTCGGCTCATGTCATTCCTGTCGTCCCTCCATATTTCATATGTGCATTTGTTTTGTGCAGCGTCCACCGAGTTTCTGAAGTTTGTTTTCGTTAAATTGCCTCAGTGTTTGTACGCAGAGAGCGGCATGTTTGTGACGTTAAAGTGCAGAATAAAACCATTTTACACTGACTCCCTTGTCTGCTGTATTTATCAAAGTTTTCAGGGGCTGATTCATTCACATTTTGATTTGGTTTGAACTGGTATTTAAAATATTTAGCGCTGTCTGTTCTCATACAACTCTAGTGTTTAAATTCTGTTTTCTCTCTATTGATACATATGTACAATTTGGCTGGGACAAGAAAATGTCGGCACAGTGAAATACAAGTCGAGTTCATGAAGGAATTTTTACACTTTTATGCTTGTGTATAAATCATTTAAATCATGCCATTTCAATGCAGAAATGTTTTAATGGAGAAATGTACGTACCATTAGACCTAACCTGAACGCCTCACCGTCGCTCCTCTGCCGTCATCACAGTGCGACTGTGTTTACACACATCATGGCGCTCTCCTGTCCCGGTGCGAGGATCATTTAAAATCTGTTTTCCAGCAAGTTTTCCTGTAACTTTCGGGAGGATGACCATGGATGTGACTTTCCTCGGGACCGGCTCGGCCTACCCGTCCCCTCACCGCGGGGCCTCGGCTCTGGTGCTGCGGACAGAGGGGGATTGTTGGCTGTTTGACTGCGGGGAGGGGACCCAGACCCAGCTGATGAGGAGCCAGCTCAGAGCCGGTGAGTCCCCGCAGCTCCAGCCCGTCAGCAGCCGCCTCCATTGTACTGGTTCTCAGATAAAGTCTTAAAAAGAATCAAACTGAATGAATGAACTCAGGAACTGCTGTTTTATACACAACTTCAGTTATCGAAGTCATTGCATTGTGACATTTTCAAATAAGATTGATTTTGTAATGAATTCTTGTTCCTGAAACTTTTCCATATAAATGTTTAACATAATCATGATCATGGTTTCACTCTGGTCCAGTCCAATGTAAAAATCAAAGCATTTCAACCTTCTTTATTTCCTCTATAAAGTATTGTAAAGTATTTGTTTTTATTTCAACGTGAACTTTTTTACTTGATTTGAATTTACTTTATATTCTCTATGACTATTGCTGACCTGTCCTTGTCCCACACTTTTCATTGCACCATTGACCCTGTGCAAACTTGAATCTTGTATTTTACTCTGATGTTTCCACTTCCCCTCCTGTTTTCTTAACTTTATTCAGCCATAGTCAGATTGGACTTATTATCCCCTGCTCTCTCATTCCCTCTATAATAGTGTGTGTAGCACTGTGAAATGTGTGTTAAAGGTCTCACTCTGACATTAGTGTTCACACATGAACCTCCTCCAGAGGCCGGAGGCCAATATGTCTGAAAGCAGCTTTTGAATAGTGTGTGTTAGAACAAGCACTGTGTTTATCAATCATCAGTCAAATTGTATTTGTTTAGCCAATATTCACAAATTACAATGTGTCTCAATAAGGTGCCACATCTTCTGTTATTAACCCTCAACAAGAGCGAGACATAGCTATTAACAGGAAGAGAGCCACATGTGATGATCCCTCTCCCTGGACGGTCAGAAGTGCAAACAGTTTGTAACATGATGGAAAACTGTGTCGATGTTTATAGTGCTTATACATAAGAGAACGTCTGATAGAGATGAAGGGAGCAGCAAAGACAAATGAATTGAGGAGTTATTGTCAGTATTGGTAGAATATGGGAGTAGGCTTATTGTATATCAAGCAGTCTTGTTTTAATCATAGTCCATGATCATTATAATGTGTCATGTTTTCTATCCAGGGCGAATCTCCAAGGTTTTCATCTCCCACTTGCATGGAGATCACCTGTTCGGACTGCCCGGTCTCCTCTGCACCATCAGCCTCAACACCAACCCCGACCCTCAGCAGAACCTAAACTGTGTGGACATTTACGGGCCCCGGGGCCTCCGGCACTTTCTCAGGGTGACACTTGGCCTCACGGGGTCACAGCTGCTTTTCCCTTATTCAGGCAGGTTTAAAATATTAATCTGACCAATATGCATGATACCTTTTAAAACTGAAGGTACAATTTTTCACATAAATAGTAAATAGCTGTTTCATAAAAACAATAAAGTTATGTAATGGGAAATTTGCATATGACGTTAGCTTGAACTCTTTCCTATGTCTGATCAATGCAGACGGACGATTCGAAAGTAGACAGACACCTTTTTTTTTCTTTTTTACCTTTAACTAACAAATGCCCTGAGCGTTGATGTGCACTTGGCAGATATTACCTCACAGTTCATGTCCTTACTCGATGATGATCCTCTTGTTGACGCTGATCTGTGCAGCTAGCAAACCTCTTCTTTCACGCAGAAGCAAGAGCAGACAGCTTCCTGTTTCAACCAGACTACAGGTGGCTTCAGTTTTCAAGCTGTTACTCAGAAACAGTTGTCTCTTATGTTTCGTGTTTACCTGACTGTATAAAAACCTTCTCCTTTCACTATTTGAGGTGTTCCACTCTGAGTGGGAAACCCTCTGCAGAGCTCTAACCATAGTAACAAATGAAAGGATCACACAACATTTGGGCAGAAAAAGAAGAGTTAAAATGTTATGGATGAGAAAATTCAAAAGTTATTCAAATAGTCAGCGATCAGAGTCAGGAATAAAACGTTCCGATACGAAAGAAGATATTTAATGTTATTTTCATTTATGGTCAAGATGCTACAATGTCAGATCATAATAAATCTGCTCTGACGTTCACCTACACTGTGTTTGTTGCTGCAGTTCATGAGCTGGAGCCCACAGCTGACCAGAGTCCAGAGGAGGGACAGCTCAGTCTGGAGGTAAGTAAAAATCACTGGTGTAAAACAGCACAGTACTCTACACTTCAAGGGACTGGATTCATGTCAAGTTTTGTCATATATGACAATGATAGTGGCCTTTTGAGCCTCATTCTGAATTCTGATTATTAAGGCTCTGCTTCAGTGGCCAGAGGCATTATATTTTCAGGTTGTTCATACATCCCTCCCATTCTTCTGAACTCAATATCTCAAAAATGCCTTGAGGGAATTTCTTCAAATGTTTTGCAAATATTTAGTTGAGCTCAAGGATTAACTGGTTAGAATGTGAAGATTACAGGACAAATGTCAAGGTCAGAGTGACCTTACAAAACAGGTTTTTTGTTCTATGAAGGGATAGTTCACCAAAAAAAATGAAAATTCACTATTATCTACTCACCACTTTGTCGATTGGGAGGTGGGTGAAGTGTTTGAGTCCAAAAAACACTTCTGGAGTCTCAGAAGTAATCTTTGTAGCAGCCAAATCAAATACAGTTGAAGACAATAATGTCCGCTTCTTCAGATGTAATCAAACAACAGAAATAACATAACATGCCTCCACATCGCTCTTGTGGTGTCATCCAAGTGTCTGCAAGCTCGGACATTCATATTCGACTTGAACCGGCGTCATTTACACCAAGTTTTTAGCCTAAATGTCGTCTGACATCCTCCTTGAAGCAGCGTACGCACGGGCACATTGGAAACACACACTCTCGCCTAAGAGCACGTTCGTGTGGCCACTTCCTCTAGCTTAGCCACTTTCTGTGGACTTTTAGGCTAAAACCATGGAATAAATGGCTCAGTTTCGAGTGAAATATGAATGTCGGGGCTTACAGACGCTTGGATTCAGGTGCAATGCTGTTCACTTCACCCACCCCTCCATCGGCACAGTGTTGAGCGGATATTGACAGAATTTTCATTTTTCGGTGAACTAACCCTTTAAGAAGGACTCGAGAGAATCTTTTCAAATAAAGCACAAATGTTCACAGATGGAATCATTACATTCAGGGGGTCGAAGGTTGCTGTGGCTTCACGAAACAATTTCTCCAAACTGTAGCCAGTTGTCACTTGGACTCAAAGATGAAGTCATTAGATTTCAGTGTCCAAAGGTCACAGTGACCTTGCATGATTCTGGAAAAAAGCGATGCTGACTGAAACTGCACTGGTTGCTGAAGACATCAAACCACAGTGCAGTAATTCAAGTTAACAATGATTTTTTAATTAATTTAATTTTTTTATAACTTCAGTCCAGGAGAAGCTCTGATTTGGTCCCTCGCCTGAAAAAGTCACACCCATCAAAGCTCAATGAAACCTGGATTCTGTGGAAACCCCAGAATAGTATAAACCACAGCATTTACTGAGTCCAAACATTTGGGATATTGTCTCTCTCCAGATGACGGCAGAGAGCGGACCTCTGCACCCACAGGAGCGGCCGGGCAGAATAATCCCTCTGGACGTCTCCAGTGACTGTTACCTCCTCTTTGAAGACAAGAAGTTTGTGGTCAAAGCGTTCAGGCTGTTCCACCGTGTCCCTTCCTTTGGTTTTTGCATTCAGGAGCACGATCGTCCCGGAAGAATGAAAACTGAAGTGCTGAAGGAACTGGGTAAGAATTTTACTTTTTTTGATATTTCTTTTTTATTTTATTTTTAATATTTAAGGAGGAAAAGTTGACAATTGGCACACAGGTGGCAGGTCGAATGAAAAGTTTTATTTTACAGAAAAAGAATGCAGAACATTTATAAAACTTATTTTGTATTTTAGGTTAGGTTATGTTTATTTTCTTAGTTTTATATATACAAATATGTAAATGGAAACTGCACTAGTTGGCAGAGGCATACAAACGCAGTGCAGTCATTTATTTCTAGTTATTTATTATAAAGTTGTAAAATTTAAAATATCAAGCCTAATTTAAACTTCTACAGCAGATAAAGTGACAAAATATGATTTAGCATATGAATGAAAAAGATATAAACTGTAGTTTTATCTAATTCAGTCGATTTTTTATTCTGTATTGAAAATAATGTTGAGGTCCTGTAGTTATTGAGATAAAGTGACTGGTGTCTCCTTGTGTCTGTCAGGCCTGAAACCAGGGCCTCTCTACGGCCGTCTCAAAGCTGGAGAGTCTGTAACTTTGGAAAGTGGCCGTGTGGTGCTGCCTACTGACGTGCTGGACGAATCCATTCCAGGCAGGAAAGTCTGCATTTTCGGAGACTGCAGCTCAGTTCTCGGGGAAGGAGCGCTGAGTTTGTGCCATGGAGCGGACGTTCTGATTCACGAGGCAACTCTGGGGAACGAGCACCGGGAGAAAGCAGTGGACCACGGACACAGCACGCCTGAGATGGCAGCGGCGGTGGCGTGTGCCTGCTGTGCGCGAAAGCTGGTGCTGTACCACTTCAGTCAGAGGTACAAACCCAGCTCCCTGCAGAAAGAGGGAGAGGAGGACGATGTGTCAGAGCTGAAGCGACAGGCTGAAGAGGCTCTGCAGGACAGTGGTGTAGAGGTGACTCTGGCTGAGGACTTTCTGACTCTGCCCATTCCCCTCAGGAGACCAAGATAAGGAATGACCTCTCTCTCTCTCATCATGTGGTGAGACTCTGTTGCTCTGTGATGTGACTCTCAGAAAAACAATTTGCCAGTTCATGATCCATTAATGAAAAAAGAAGTCAGGCATGTTTAGGGGACTGACTTTCCAAGAGTGTGAAATTTGGTGAAGATCCAAATCCTGTAGATTTAAATTTGTGCTATTTTAAGTGCCATTCTAGATACATCAGTACTTAGTCTTTGTGTCTGTTCATGTGAGCCTGTAAATACAACCACATCTTTTCACAACACCTGTGTGATGACAAAAGAAAGAACATGCGATCATCTCTGAACATTTTCCAGAGCTTTATTTCTGGATCTGTACACAAGGTATTAAAGTACAACAGAAAATACAAAAGAATGTTTAACAAAAGAAAAAAAACAACTCAATGTTTATGTACAATTCTTATAAACAATAAAGATAGCTTCTTGAACATTTCTCATACTGAAGTTTTTGATTGTCTATATTTCTGGATATACATTTTTAAGTTTTGTAGGTTTTTTATTCACAAAGGTGTTTTTGTTTTCGTCAAAGGACTTGAGTTTTCTTTTTCAAAACAACTGCTATAGTCTTTCTTTTTAAACTTCAAAACACAATACAAAATATAAAATAAATTTGTTTAGTGCTTGCTTGCACACACAAGTCTCATATCAATAAAATATCACATTTTTGAGAGTTCACAGGGTGGTGAAAAACCTACTTCTACTACTTAATGGCCTTAAGATTCTGACAGTTTTTCTGAGTCTTTGTACAAACCACAGGTGAAATAAATATCACTGCACTGCTAAAGCTAGAAGAGCTTGGAGGACCTACTGCATTATGCACATTGCATTCAAAGAGAAATGAGCTCTCCACATACATTAAGAGCAGCAGCCATCCCTTTACCATCAAGACAAATAGACGACATGTGAAAAGAGTTTTTTCAAGGAAAGAAGAAGATGAGCGTCTTTTACACACGGCTGCAGGTTTCAAACGCAAAACTGCAATACTGAGTAATATCAATACGTCTTCAGGTAAAGCCGTTTTGAGTGGTACACTTGAGAAGCGGACGCGGCTGGCATGCGTGGTTTCAGCCATGTCCTGGTGTGTGGGTATCATGACTTCTCCGAGAAAGAAAAAGAAAATTCAAACACCAAGTCAACCGGTAAAATGCCGAACTCAAAATATCTGTACATATCTACAAATTATTGCCTTTTTGACAAGGAATCAAATTAAAAAACTTTGTATCAACACAAATTCACAAGTGTAAGAGGTCAGTTAATAGACTTTTTAAAGGCTATTTGCTAAATATTTACATGAAACGCGCAAGTGAATATCTTCTGATGATGCTGGGCTTGGAAACTGAATTTACTTGATCGAACCTAAAAGATGATGTAGAGGCGTGAATCATGTCTGTACATACAAAACGATGAAATACTACAACTATGGACACGACGAACATGATGAACCCCTGAAACAAACTTATTTTTCATAGCACAATGCATAGATAAATTAAGTAAACACTACTACTGCATCCAACTCGACTGACAATGACCTGCTAAACATTTTACAGTTCACAATTATGGACTCAAGTCAAGATAAATATTCTCCATTTCTGCTACTAGACTCCAAGAAATTGTAGACCAGATTACACAAGGTGTTCTACACTCAGTACATGTTAGGCAGAGGTTGAATACAAAAATCAGAAGTGGCTTTAAATAAGGAGATAATACTGCTAGCTGGCTTACCTAAGACTGCTAAGTGGTCTGAAAATGGCGCGACGTGATTTAGGAACATAATCTAACATTTAACTTAAGAACATATAGAGCTGAAAGGATTTAACCAAATCTCACAAAAGGTAAAAGTACTTCACTGTGCCAGTTGATGTTTTTACCAATATGTTTGCATTGCAGTATTGCCATTATGGTTTGTCTGACCGATAGCCTCCAAGGAAGAGGCATGATTTATGTTATGATTTTTTAAACTTGATATCCAACAGTAAAACAAGATGGATCCTACGATTTCACTCTGAACAAGTAATTTTTCACCCGTTTAGAATAGAAAATATATAAAATCTGGGACTATAATTTGGGTTTGTCTATAAGGATTATTAATATGAACTGTAGCAAACATTCAAATGTTCCAGTTTGGCCACTATGAATGATTTAAAAAGTAAACAGACAAACTAAAGACAAGCTTCCACAGGAGATAATAAAGAATAAAAAAAGAAGAGGAAAACCAAGTTGGAACGTCTCAGCAGCTGAAGCCAAAAACATCCTGGTCCTCAAGATAATCTCTATGCTAGTGTTGTTCTTCATACAATATCTAGCCAGTTTATTTGGAGACAAATAAAACCATTAGGACTAGTCTGGTTACTGAAAAGTACCTGTAAACCGAACACTAATTTAAAAAGAAAAAAAGTACCACTTCAAAAAACAAAGAGGAGCAACTACATGCTGAAAACTAGAGGCAGAGAACTAAGCCAGTTTTGGCAGCTGAAAAGAATGGCAGGATAACATACTGTAGCTGTGAAGACGTGTGTAGATGTCAGGGAGGAAGATACACAACTCTCCTACTGCAGCCTCTGGGCCCCACTGTACATGGACGTTCCACATCTCAAGACCGCAAAAAATAAAATAAATGGCTATATAAACTCTTGAGAGAAATCAAGATTTTAGTTCTATATGATAGACATCACTGATGTCATATTACACAAAAAATGAAAACAAAGTATATTCATATACATATATATAGAGATATATATATATATATATATATATATATATATATATAATAGAATTTAAACAAATCAGATTCTCCAGTGAGGTCAGTCTTATGTACAAGCAAGATAGGGGTTTCAAAAGGGAGAACGAGGGAGGAAGATCACTCTGATTGAAGTGCTGCAGTGTGCTGTGTGTGATGCCGTGCGTGTGCTCCCAGAAACCCATTGGGCTCGCCGCTGCCAGCCAAGCTCCCAAAGTCTGTGACCGACACTGCCATTTTGGCGCCGGTGATTCGGTGGTGGTGCGTCGTTGTCCGTCGCGCCTCGAAGTCCACTCCAAGGTTACCCACAGACACGTCACTGATAAAGGAGTCAGGCAGCGCCATCTTGAGTCTCTTTGAGGGTCGCTCGCAGTCCTTGTTGACACAAACTCCTCCTAGCTGGCCCAGGTCGGTGTGGTAGAAGCCGGCGTCCAGCATATTGAGGCAGTCGGTGTCTGCACCGTTGGAAGGGAACCCGAGGGACTCGTCGTGGTTAAGGGACCCACGATGGAGACTTTCCAATGGAGGAAAGCTGTAGGAGTCGAGACAGCTAACCTCGGCAGGGCTGCACACTGTGGCTACACTGTTACTCAAAGCTGCAAGGAGACAGGACACTTGATTAACAGTGAAGAAGTGAAAGAGATTTGGCAAAAAACACATTGACTCCTGAGAAAAGTTATCTGACAAATATAATAGTTGTCAAGTATTTCTAGCTTCTCAAGTTTGTCCCTTGACTGACCTGTGAGGTCGCTGGCAGTGATGGAGTTGAGCAGGCTCAGTTGGTCGGTGCTAGTCTCTAGTCTTCCTCCTCCACCAGCTCCCGAACACACCGAGGAGGAACTGTCCACTGCTAGTCCCTCTGCTTCATCCACCAGCCTGTCCATCAGGTCACTAAACACAACAGAACACATTTAAGGTTTGTTTTTCCCAAAACTTGTGCTCCTTATCTAAATTTTTTCACAGCTCATTGTATTTAACGTGGGCAAAAACAGAAACCTAACACAGATGAGTGTCTTCCCCTCTCACTTACGTTACACCGGGATAACTGCTGTATTTTTTCTTTCCAAACCGATTCTGCTGCACAAAGAAGTCAAAGCGCTCCGACTTCTTCCACATGTAATAAAACGCCACACATTCTGCTACAGTTCGTGTTGGTACCTAAGGGGGGAAAAGAAATCATTAAAATCAATGAGGCACTCTCACAGCTTTACATGCATCTACATGTATCTTTAAGACACCAGGTAGTAAATAAAACTCACTTTGTGTTTCTGTATGAGGTGGAAATTTTTGTCATACAACTGTAGTGCATGTTCAAAGTTCTTGCATTCCTCTTCTGACCATGGAGGTGATTTTTCTGAAAGGAAACCAGAAAAAAACAATATATTGATGCACAATAGTGTGATCCAGAACAAATCATTAAGCACATCAGGAAAATTATCCCCAAACTGACAGACAACTAAGTTTCCAAAGTGTGCTTTATTAAGATGATTACGCATATGCAATTAAAAATCCCTGACACTAAATTCTCGCTCCATCTTGAAACTCATGTGACAAATCCTGACAAATAATTATTGAGTGTGATGCTTGCTGAGGACATTTATGATCCAGAAGGAAACTAGTGAGCATAGAAAAACCCCTAAACTTCACAGAGTGGTAACTCAAATCTACTTTAAATTGTCATTTAGGCAGTACAATGTTGACTGTGAAGTGATGCAGGTTATAAGACCTTGATGGAAGCTTATATTCTGTTTACTAATCTATTATGTGTTTGAAAATCATTAGGAGGAAACTTTTTAGCCAATGCATTTATAGTATACAACAATATAATTGCCACAGAACCCTTGAAAATGTATTTCTCTGTGATTCTAGGTTGCCTGGCTGGTACAACAAATCTACACAAGACCTATGATACCACCAGAGAATCATGTTTGGCAGTTTTTGCTATGGTGCAGCGACTATCGTCTTTGCCAAAGTTAAAAACTTGGCTGGAGGTTTTTCAGCTGCAAACCTTAATATTCTGTTTGATATGGCTGAAAGTCCACAGTGAATACACTGTTAACTGTGATCAATGTACCATGGACATCAGAAAGGACAGTTTTTTAGAGCTTTTGTAGAGTTCTCTTACCTTTCGAGGACTTAATGCGACTACAGTATCTCTCTACTGCTTCGCGGGAGTTGTAGTTGCACTTGACAAGCTCATGCAATGCCTACGAGGAAAGAGTTGAGCGGTCAAAACCGGAATATTGTATGAACCTTAGAAACAAATACTCTGGAGAACTGAGAACAAACATCGATATGGGACATGGTGAGCTGGCATAATGATAAAATGAGGATGACAGACACTCATTAAGTGTTGGTCTGCTCATCACTATGATAAAACATGAAAGGTTTGATGACGACATGACTGACCTGCTCATTGTCTCGAACGTGCATCCCTGGTTTGTCAAATCCTATCTTTTCATCTGTTGTTCGTGACAACACTTCAGACAGAAAACCTCTGACCTTGTTTTCTGCGAATGTACCTGGGCTCCATAATAACTCATCTTCATCTTCATACACTGCAAAAGAAAGCACATCACAGTGAGATAAGTCACATTGTGTTGTCACATTAAACAACATATTAGGCGTAATCTCTAAAAACAGAAGTGAGGAAGTTACCTTTCTCCCCATCTTTGTAGTGACAGACGCAAG